TTTTTCTTTTTACCTTTTTCTTTTTTATTTTATTTATTTTTCTTTTTTCTTTTTCTCTCTCCCTTTCTCTCTCTTTTCCCCCTCTGATGAATACAAAGGCACCTGGGTAGGTTGCTTTGTATGATTGGCGAGCTATGATAAATGTACGCAATCGTGCGGAATGAAGCATGATAGACTCATGCCGACTCCATTCTTCTCGCTGTGGATCATAAAATATAGTGGGTCTAGACGAGGGTTCGTGGAGTTCATGGCTGGCTGAATTGTTTCAATAAACTGCATCCCTTCGGCGATCCAGACCCCGAAACCCCTACCTAGAAGTTTGGAGTGACGTGGCCCCTTCGTATCCTATGATCAGAGAGTGAGAACATGATTTCAAATTAAGGTGCATTTGAAGCACCTCATTAGTACGAGCCCTGTCGTAGGAGAAAGACTACGAGCCAACCAGCCCAGACCCACAAGATCCCCGAGATCAGCACAGCAAACGAGGTCGGGAACATCCACGCGCGATCAGCAACACATACTCAGATGGGTTGGCCGGCTCTTCGGCTCCGAGTTGTTAGTATTAAGTGGACATTATGTGGGTCTTCTGGCTCTAGACCGGAGATACTCATTCAGGTAGACTAGTGTAGTGACAATTGGATGTCTGTCTTGGGGCATCCACCTGGCTGATATAAACACACTCCCAATGTGACTTTCTCTCACCATTGCCCAACACACATCGCTCATATTGGTGTTTCCTCAGTCATCAGTCTGTTTCAAACAAGCATGGGGCTCTTCCACAATGTCCTCTCCCTCCTTATGGGTGCATTTTCACAAACCATGGCACAGACTGTGCCTCCACAGATGGGAGGTCGCATAGATGTCTCCAAGTATAGCCCATCTGATATCATTACTCGCGATGTCTGTATCATCGGCGGCGGACCAGCAGGCACCCACGCTGCCATTCGCCTACGTCAGCACAACAAAAGCGTGGTGGTTTTAGAGAAACAGGACCGCCTCGGAGGCCAGACAAACACCTACATCGATCCCGAGTCCGGTCGAGCCGTTGACTACGGCGTCACCTACTTCCAGAACCTGTCATCTGTCCGGGATATGTTCGAGCACTTTGAAATCCCTTTGACGAAAGCTGTGTTCGATTACAAGATGCACATGTTTGACTTCCGCACGGGAACGCCAGTCCAGGACTCCTCGAAGGCTGAAATGGCAGCCTTCACGGAGAAATATATGGCCCAGTTGGCCGGATATCCCTATCTGAAGACTGGGTTTGATCTACCGGATCCAGTGCCGGAGGATCTGCTTCTTACATTCGGAGAATTCCTGCGAAAGTATGATATGATGCCAGCGGTCGGCCAAATAGGCGGGTGGATCAACGCCCTGGGCGATTGGCAAAATATGCCCACACTGTACATCATGAAGTACATGTGTGCGGACATCATGAACGGGGTAAAGACTGGATTCGTTCGCCCAGCCGATCATAATAACAGTGCCATATACGATGCCGCCCGTAAAGAGCTAGGAGAAGATGCACTGCTGAATAGCAAAGTGGTGCAGATGAATCGAGACGACTCCAATGGTTGGGTCTACATGGAAGTGCAATCTGGCTCACAGACAAGGCTTATCCGCGCGAAGAAGATTATTGTCGCCTTCCCACCTCACCTGGATAACTTCGGAGGCTTCGATGTCAGCCCGAAGGAGAAGGAGCTTTTCTCTCAATTCCGACACATTTACTTCTATCCCGCATTGGTCCGCATCCAGGGCATTCCCGATAATGTCTGTTATATAAACCGAGGCGCGGATCACCCGTTCCTGCGTCCCCAGCTACCTGGCATACTGATGATGAGAACAAGCGACGTGCCGGGGCTATGTACAGTCCATTTCTCCAGTCGTTCTCCACTGTCGGAAGAACAGGTAAAAGCTGGCATCGTGAAAGGCATCTCTAGTATCAGAGAGACCCAAGGTATTGACGGCACTGACCTTGAGTTTGTCAGACTGGCAAACCACAGCCCCTACCAGATGACAGTCTCGGCCGACGCCATCGCGCATGGGTTTTACCAAGAGCTTAACGCATTGCAGGGTGAGCGGCACACCTATTATACTGGAGCCACTTTCGACTCGCACAACACACCACAGATATGGAATTTTACAGAGCAACTGCTGCAGGAGCAAATATTGAAGTCGCTGGAGTAAGTTGGTGTTTCGGTGATAGCAACTATAGGTGTGACCTGTAGTTGTATGTTCTTCGAGCAAAGCGTGGTCTGCTAGGAATTCAATTTATCTCTAGGCCTGTTCCTACCGGTAGAATGTGTAATGAAAGCATAATGGACATTCGTTGAGAGAGTGCGGTAGACGATGTAATCACCGAGTGTTTCCAGCATGTATACAGCTTCTTGTAGGACACCTCCAATCTAAACGCGGCCGGATTCTGACTTTTCTCTGCACTATCTAGAAAGGCCGGATTGAAAACATCATGATCAGAGGAATATATTCCCATATCCTCTCGAAGATCTGCTTGTTACGAGGGGCCTTGTGACGTTGAGAGCAGTGACTAGTATACACTCATCGTCAGGGCCAACATAAATTCTCCTCCTCACTACGGACTGTGCCGTTCTTACACGATAAATTTCTTTCCAACGTCGAAAGTGCAATCTGCCTTTACGAATGACGCTTGACGAACAGCGTGCCGGCTGCATGGGTGTTACCGTCGGCCAGCGTAGCAAGGACATCTAGCGAAAGTATACCGGTCACAGCAACAGGGTATGCCTTCGCCTCCAGTCCAGGGATAGCTGTATAAATATAAAAAGAAGTTTATATTCTCCAGTCATCAGGAGATAAGGCCCGGGATCTATATCAGGCCTCCTCCACTTATTCCCCCTAGATTCAAGTTGGAAAACTAGTGGTGGTATCAGGTCAAAGGAGTACCCGTTCCTATCACCGTTGACATTAGGCTATTGGTCTGTCCTCTACGCACAGGTGCTGACATCGATGCTGCAACCAGCCTTATACTATCTCTTTCTTAGGAGGACATGATTCCTGCCAGGAATCGCAGATTGCATTTTCAACTGCCCTACCGTGGGCCTGACCTTGTAAAGGATAAATTATGTCCGCTCCCACTTCATATTTAGACCCTGTCCACGCTCAGTAGGATGATGATGGATACCAGTGCATCGAAATGATCCAGTACGTAGTATATTTCTCCCATTATATCGACCAAGGACGTTTTCAATAGCTTCATTTTCAAAGATTATATATATCTAAGCAGGCTTGACTCACCCTGGCCGAAGCACTAAATTGGCAAACATTAAAAGGAATAAAAGCATGACGTAACTCCCCACCAGAACACCATCAAGCAAACCCCTTCCAAAAAGACTTTTCCCTCCACGAGACCTTCATTTTAGTACACCTGAACGCCAATCCTTACCCCACAAACGGAGTAACCATGGCAGAAAACCCAACCCGAAAAGCGGTACCCCGCCGCCGCCGAAAAAGTCTCTCGATACCCGTACGCTAGACCTATTCGGGCCATCATAGGCTACGCTTGGTCGGGCCGGCGGGTCAACAATTTAGCATGTCACGGGCCGTGTGACGAGTGTGTAGACTATATTGACTTGATTAGGTATAGTGCCACAGGGATAGAGATTCTGGATTATATTGATAGAGGGATTTTAATGACATATAGTTTTGGGGTAGGTTTTGAGGGTGGATTTCTCTTAGTAACGGTGATAAAGGAATATTTAAAATCGGGTGGGTTTGGGAGAGGTGGTAATTATCGAGTTTAGAGATGCTTTCTGTGTCTTGCTGCTTATGTGATGTTCGTTGTCTTAATTGTCAATGCTTTCAAACTGAACCCGTTGCCAATGCAAATGCTGACGGGGTAGGACAATTATTTAAATTCACATTCTGTATGGTTAATCTAAATTCGTAAATCAGATAGGCTGGTAGCTAGGGCTCATCCAATTCAAATCAGTCTTATAGTGGAGAGGACAGAGCAACCGTAATAATAGTACCTGATAATTACTAATGATATTGTAACAACATAGGACTGCCCTGGTACAAGAGGTCCTTGGTAGGTGGCGGGGATTTATCACTAGATCGTGACAAACTGTTAAATCGATGCTGGTACTGGCTATTATCGTGCCTGTTCATTGCCATGGGTCTAACATTGCAGAGTGCCAGAATAGTTCTACGGAAAAGGCGCAACTATGTACTAAGCGAACCCCAACACCGGAATTGTATTACTATACAATATCTAGTTGAAGCGAGACTGCAAAGCGACAGAAGATAAGTATCAAGTCTCTAAGATGTATATGTCTTGAGTATAGATGTGCTGGTCACTGCTAAGGGCAGCACAACATTAGGACATGTTACCCTCACGCCAAGCCCAGTGGGCAGCCAACAGAACTGACATACTAGTCTATCTAGAATATAGACATGGCTACATTGTATATAATTGGGCGTCAAGCGAACAACCCCGCTCAAAGCTACCCGACGAGGCTGACGGCGCGTATCCACACAGCCTTGCTTTACCTATCGTTTTGGGGATCATACTGTTTTATCGGGGTCATTGAAGCCATTCTTGAATTGTACTTGCTTATTAATCCTTCGACACGACAGCACTTGCCTTGTCATCTTAATCATAATGGGGAAAGGACCATTGGATTTTATTGATGTCGAGGAGAGTGAGAATGACAAGAAGAAGATAAAGGGCGATATAGTCTCAGGGCCCGAGGCAGGCAGATCCCCGTACAGCAACGAAGAATACACAGTAGGTTGGGTCTCGACTCACTCTATAGACATGGCAGCAGCAAAAGGCATGCTGGATGAAGAGCACGGTGATCCACAAACGCCTCCACAGGAGGCTGATCACAATACATATCTCCTAGGATGCATGCGCGGATTCAGAGTCGTCATTGCTTGCTTACCAAAAGATGAACTAGGCGCTATCTCTGCAGCCGCTGTAGCAAGAGACATGCTGTTCACCTTTCCTAACATCCGAGTTGGACTTACGGTGGGAGTCGGCGCGGGAATACCTCACTACGATGATAATGAAACGTGCGACATCCGCTTAGGGGATGTAGTAATAGGCAGTGATAGGGGCTCGAGTGGGGTTATTGTGTATGACTTTGGCAAGTGGCTTCCCGATGGCTCATTCAAGAATATGTATGCTTTGGATCGACCGCCCCGACCTTTGCGTGCTGCCCTAGCCAGGAAGGAAGCAGAGCACCAGACTCGTGAAAGTAAGATCTGTGAATACGTTGACAGTATGCTACTTAAGTATCCGCACATGAGGAGGAAAGGATTTGCTCATCCTGGTTCTCCCAACGATCGACTGTTCCGAGAGGACTATTGCTATGTAGGTGGTAGATCCTGCCCAGCAAATACATCGACAAGATCGACTTGACACCTCCCCTGAAATACATTATGGGATTGTGGCCACAGGAAGTGCAGTGGTGAAACATGCGCCAACTAGAGAGCAAATCAAGCAGAGGCATGGCGCTATCTGTCTGGAGATGGAGGCAGCTGGATTGATCAATAACTTCCCCTGCATCGTCATCCGCGGGATATCTAACTATGCGGACTCTCAAAAGAACGACCAATGGCATGTATATGCAGCTTCCACCGCAGCGGCCTGTGCAAAGGAGCTTCTTGGGTTTGTGCAACTGACGACATTGGAAGCGGAACGTAAAGGGAAGGATGTGCTCCAGATACTTAACAATGGCATGTCGCGACCTTTAATATCGTCTTTATATTTGTCAAGGGATACTAACATTGCGAAAGTGTCCCATGAAGTCTCTCAAATCTCAACCCATTTCACTCATATCAAGCAACTGAAGAAGGGGACTGAGATGCTCAAGCGCCCGGGCTGACCTGTCCAGAGATCCGGTGAACATCTAAAAGTAACTCAACGGTCTAATATATCTGTCTCATACTCTTATTCTGATCGAATGGCATACGAGACGTCTGCCGAGCCAATAATTTACAGATCCTCTCTGCTCCTCCTAGTTTCCCTCCGACTCTTGACTAGAGACTGCACAATTATATCGCGTATCCTTTCGCCTTCGTAGGCAACGACCATGCACACGCCAACAATAAACAGCGTAAGAGGAGCAGCAATTGCCCAGAACAGCCACTGATCGCGGTCCGTATTCCTTATGTCACTAGTATTCATACCGAGATAGCTCGTCATGAATGACATGGGTAGGAATACAACGGTGACAATAGTAAAGACGAGGATCGCCTTGCTATTAGTATCTTGCTGGAGATCAACTTGGCGTACTACCTGATGTAACGGGTAAGTTCAGGTCGAAATGGGACACGGAATAGCTGGACCGGAGGCTGGTGCCGGTAAGTGAATTATCTTTACGTACCTTCTCCTTAGCTTCTCAATGCCGATGCCCATTTCGGTGTACAGAGCTGCCTTGTCATCTAGTTCCCGGATACAGTTCTGCATTACATCTTTTGGTCCTCGTTTGGAATCGGTAATGTGGTCGTCGACGAAGGACGTGAACTTTTCAAGCAACGCCTTCTGCTTCCCCATTATCGTGAGAATGGTTTCCAACTCCTCCTCGAGAAGGTCCAGGTCATCCAGCAAAGTTCGAGTAGGCTTATCTCTCACTTTGATTCTCTTTCCACGTATATCCATTAGAGACTGAGACAGAGAAGGCCAGAGAAGGGATTAAGTTTTATTACATACCAACTGAGAAGAATACTGCCGATATACTTCCTCAAGACGAAAAGACCCTGCGCCTTCCAGGTCACTTAGCCCACAGCATATGTGTTCTAAAATCGAAGATGCAATACGAGTGGGTCCCACGGCGAAGTAATCATCAAGATCTACAGGGTTCGTCCCCATTAGGGCGCAGATGATCGAATATTTAGATTCAATCAGTAGATCTTCGGCTTTTTTAATAGTTTGGCTACCGTGAACCCAGGGATTTCTTGCCTCTTCAGGCTCTCTATCATTCTTGGTGTCATCCCAAGCCGATTTTCGAGAGCCTGTTCTCCGCCCTGGAGGAGTCCTCGTATTTCCAATACTACGATCGCTTTGGACAGAAGCAGCACGACTCGACGGTCCATGAGATGGACCAGGAATGTCACTCCTCCAAGCCCCTTCTGTACCTTTTGACTGGGGGGATGTACTCCGAGGGATTTGTCGGTCCTCTATTTTGGATATTCCAGTGATGGAAGCCTCAGGAGGCGCACTGAAATCAGCCTCCCGATCTTCTGCCTTGGGAGTGCTTTCTGTGGGAACATCCAAGCCTGAAGCTTTGTGTAGGGTATCTGGATCTGGGTGACTCGTTTCCGGTCGGTCCCCATATAATTTGATTCCGCTGACAGTGCCTGTTGGATAGAGCAGCATAGCTGGCTAATAACCCTGCACAGCTGCATTAAACACTCTACATGAGCTGTAAGAAGAGGTAGGCGGCTCGTATCGGTCTGGATGCCAGCACGGACTTCGCTAGAAAACTTCAACATGTTTGAAGACCAGTCGGCGAAGTCCTTCAAGAGCGGGAGCCTGGTGAGCTTTGTTTCCTGAGAGGACATAAAACACTCCTGTTACTAAACGTCAGTCTAATTACCGCCTCTCATGTGTCGATACACACAAAACAAACCTTGAGAATCGTATGAAGCCCTCCGTAGATCTTATCTTTGAGTAAGGATTCCGTCCTGTCTGGGAGAAAGTGGTCGACTAAATCGCACAGAGAGCTACATAATGCAATTTCCGGATGGTAACTCGCGGTTGGAACCCCACCGAAGAACGACATTTGCAATTCAACTAGATCTGCTTTCTTGGCCCTCGGCAGCTTTGCAAAGGATTCTTCCTTTTGAAGCACCGCGTACAGGAATTTAACAGGGAGCGATGGGGAACCATGTTTCGAATTGTGTGCTTTCTGTGATTCGGGTACCCGTGTTACTGCTTCCTGACCTTGACTACGGGACAGGGCGGAGATTTCAGAAGCTAGTGGCCACGATAGGTACGGCGGGATAGTTGTTTGAGCTCGGCTATCCGTAGACAGCTAGGGGACTTGGTCGAAGCACCCGAAGCATCATGAGTTGAATCAGGGCTCTCGTAGTTGTCAATCTCTGAAAACAAACCATCTAGCAGAAATGGGTTTGGAGTCCAGAACATTTCCCCTTCGGCCCTTCTCAGCTCATCGGCAGGGTCCTTTTCGTAGCAACCAGGCCAATGCCAAGCAGGTCCACTTTGATTAACAGATTTCCCATCTTCACGATCATTCTCTGGCAACTCACGAACTTCATCTTCTAGTCTCATTCTTCGAGACCTCCGGGTGTGCTCGAACAAAACTTCAGTAAAATCGACATCTAAGTAGGTCTTGATTATGAGCATTGTCGAGTCCTAATACGCGATTAGAGCAGTAAATGCGCGTTAGGTAACAGAACGGTTTACCTTGGTGTCCTCTGCCCATGGTAGATTAAACGCTTCCAAGGTTTCCACGTCCATGAACCTTTTTGAAACCTTCACCCATGTCCTTGTATCGGTATCTGGCTCGATAAAGTATGGCTCAGTTTCCTGATTCAGTCCAGGAGACACCATCAGTTGTGTATAGAGTACAACCATAACGGTGATGCAAGTACCGCATGCCCTTGCTTTATACAAAACAGAAGGCCAGGAGCCAGCGGTCAGGATCTCGCCCGTCTCTGCATCGCAGAACCCGCATTTCTCAGCGTCAATATGCTTCTTTAGCCAGCACGAGTAAATGTGATGGATCCGGGCCAAGAAATCCTAATGAGGGTCAGCACAAGCTACAAACCTCTGAATCCTGCTATTTGTTCGGTTCGACCTCACTCACAAACCATGTAGGGCATTCCATCAGATTGATATAAAATATACTATCATCCTCGTGCACTAGGCGGATCACTGGCGGAAATTCTTCTAGGGGAAGAGGGAGGATTGAACTCTGTCGATGGGTATGCAGCTGGCTTGGAGCACAGGTGACCAAGTAATCTAGCAACATATCAGTTGTGTATCGTGTTTTAAGATGTGGGATTCATTGTCAAACAAAAGAAAGAAAAGCGGAGAAGTGGAGGGGAGGATACAATTTCCGATTATCAAACCCCATATCTGCGGGACGTAGACCAGCGTATTCCCCTCTAAATCTAGCACTTTGCGGACCGCCTGCGACTTTTCACGAGCGAATGAAGAGTCGGTCCGGTATGCCGACTGAACCAATGCTCTGATAGGATGCAAATCCGTATTGGCCTTTTTATCCGCTACAGACTGGCAGTTTTCGCTGAGAAGAAGGTAGGGAAGGGCGAAGAACACACAAACAAGAGACTGTCCACTTACCGAAGACAGCCTTTGTTTCTGAAAACATGAATCCAGAGCTTTCCCGCCAAATATCCTTTGCGCTTCTAGAGAATAAATATCTGAAATCCAGTTTTTTATCATATTTTTTGCATTCAGCGGAAGGTCTATTCCGTCTAATGCTGTAGACTTTTGGAAACATGGTCAATCAGCCTTCCCTCATCGGAGATAACGCAAGATCTCAAAGTCATACCTTAAATGTATCGAATTCAATTCCTTTCCAGTGTTGCATATGTCTGGATGGCCCTATTAGTTTAATTGACACAGTTTAGAATTGTGTCTTCTCACATCCAATGAAGTGTTCGGCTTCCTGGGCCTGAACTTCCCACCTGTGATGTTTCATCCATGGCTAAGAAAAGGGTGTCTTTTTCACCACCAATGGGAATGCGACTCCATGCAATTGGTATTCGCATCCGATGTACACGCAGGTCAGAATTCTTTACAATGTGTGAGCTTCAAGTGCCTGGCTCTATTCGGCTTTAATTAGAAGTAAACAAACCTCATCGAACTGCTTGTTCAGCTTATCTCTCGGGCGTTCTTCGTCGCCTGTGGTACGACGAAAGTGTGGAATCCATGAAAAGCGTTTTCGCTCGTTATATGACTTGGTACGGACTTTTCTTCCATTCAGAACTGGACCTTTACTTGTCCGCGCCTCATTCCGACGCCTGGATGCTTCACGAGCAAATGCGTCTCGAAAGTCTCCGGTTTTAGCCCGCTGTGTCGGATCCAAGAACTTGGGATTGGCACCAGTGATATTGTACGCCATGTGGAAAAGGCTCTCAGGCATGAATCGCCACCACTACAAGGCCACAATTCGATGTCGGTGTCTGACTTGGATGGAAAGTGGTGGGGGGGGCAAAGGAAAGACGCCAAAGCGCGCCTTCTCCGCACAACGATCACCATCACGTGCAGGAAGGAGCTAGTCCGGACTAACAATAATAATACGAATAGTCGTCATCTACTGGATTGTCCGTAATTCTATGTTCGATTGGTGTTTCCAATTCTTTGGCGGTTGGAGGGATTGACAGGCTATCCCCGCTGGCCCGGTTGTGAGATAATGAAGGTGTGGGGTAGGATATAAACTCGTCCAACCCGGAGGCCTACACAAAAGATAGCATCAAAAGGGTAGAAATATAAATAGATTGCATACAACCCAATAATATTCTGGCTGTCATGGCTGTGTCCTTGAAAGGACCTTCGCAAGCAACTGGAACAAATATAGAACTTCCGACATATATCCAGTATTATTGTGCTAGACTTTGCGATAGAGGTTGCCCGGAGAACAAGAAGAGGCGATAGAACAGTACAAATCACTGCTACCTTATACGGTAAGGCGAACCTGATTATCCCTGTCTGGTTGGGCTGAACTGGGATGCTACGTTCGGTTGCCCTTGAAAGCCTACATAAAGTAGTGATAGGATTCCATCTCTTCCAAAAAAGATCGTCTGGGTAAGTCATATCAGGCGAGAATATTACACCATCAATCATCTCTAACCCCAAGCCCCACGGCGGGGGACAAGGAATACGGAAATAGCCTCGTCGGAGGATACGGTCCAAATCTTTTACTGCTTCAGTCTCTCCGCATGGCTACCAGATCTCGTACGTCTCGTATCTACCTTAGCACAAGCAGAAGACAAAGTGACGGACCAACACGACCTGGAATTGTCATCTAAACGCCAATAGTGGACCAAAGTCAAATTTCCCTCGCAAGTCACGCTAACCTGGGCCACTATTCCTGGTGCCATGTATCATCTCGCCGGGCAATGCTATGATTCGAGTTGAGTATCAATATTGAAGTGCAGAGGAGTGCTAAAGTCATTTCCATATGCAGAAAAGCAAAACAAGGATATTTTTAGAAGCCGGGAAGGAAACATTCTTTCCTCGCGGGCTGATGCCGATCATCCCTGGTTCAGTTGTTCCCGTTGGTCTCACCATGCGCGAGGTGGGTCGGTTCTTTCGTATCCGCATCTTCACGAGGCGCGAGGCACAAGCTACCATTCCCGCCAAGAGAATGTCTTGTTTAAACTAAGCTAATCTTGGCAGAAGCCACGATGCTTAATTCTCATTCGTGGGCTGGTGGTCTGATGTTCCTCTTCGGAATGTCTAGCAAGGCAAGGGCTCTGCAGATCTACCCTGAAATTCCCCGCTGACTGTTCCTCACGACGGAATTTAACCGAGTAATACGACTCATCTGGACTGATCGGCAATTGGGTTACATGATGCGCGTGGTATGTACTGATATCGATCTGCAGGGTAGCGCTACATGCATGGTGATCTATTTCATCTTCCGTTCGACAAGGAGTGAAAGACCTTGCACGATTTTGCATGAGCCGATATTGGACAGTGAAATAACGACGCAGGTACATGTAACCTATTAAATTTCATGAATGATAAAGGGTGCAGTATAGGACATAGAAAATGATCGATTGTATAACTTAGTAAACTGTTACTAAAATGTAGCTCACGTAAAGCTCCACTCGGACACGAGATGTTAGCGTGTCCTCCGCTAAGTATAATCAAGTCCAGATATACTGGCGAATATGAGCCGTGCCTTGGTGTGTCCCAGATGCATAATCGATCGATACCCCACTGTAACCCCAGTCTCTATTATCTGACTATACTCGAAAGCTCGACCCCACCGGGTAAGATCCCTCAGGTCTATGAGGTAGATAGACACCGTATTGATGAAGATCTCTCGTGTAGCAGTATGCCTCTCGTATTCCTATACCTCGCCATTCTCGAAATAGAACTGAACTGGAGACAAAGTGTGTGATAGCCATTGAGAGTCACAACAGGGTATCATTCTAATACGAGATGGAGTCTGTCATACGCGGGATATCACCAACACAAGCCCATACTCCATCTATATAAAAGCCTCACTCACCCTCTCTAGAGTTCTTAATTCATCAACACAGAGACCACATATCCAAACTCCTACCAGCATACTCAAAAACGCCTTTGCCCTTTCAAATCCACAATGCGTTTCTTCCTTGCTATCTCAACTCTTCTGGCCGTTGCCACTGCAGCGCCAGCCTCGACTGCGCAGAACATTCAAGACGTTCAGAGCAACGCCGCTGCTTTTATGGAAGCCAAGAAGGCCTCAGGATGTGACTGGCTTGGTAGGTGGTTGGCGACGGATTCTCACCATGCAATTTACTGACATTCTTGAATAGCCTGCGTCTCCTCTCTTGCTGGAGAGAGCGCTGCGTGTGCTGCAGCTGCCGCAGAGCTTGGTGCTAGTATGCTTTTCTTCTTCCGTTCTCAATATGCTGGAAGTCTTACTGATTTGGGCTCTTAGATCCCATCGCCGATGCGGCTTGTATCGCTTCTGTCGGTACCTCTACTGTGAGCTTCACACTGTCTGTCATTCTATTAAGTAATATAATTCTGACTATTGCAACAGGCTTCCTGCAGGAAGTGTGGCTAAGTAGCTATGCTACAAACTCTCGCCAATACGATTGACGGGCATCGATGACGCCATGGAATACTGAGTGAATGGACTTGCCGGACGCGTTTGTATCCAAGTACCTGTATATGTCTTTAGTGGTAAGCTTGGAGGAGTGAATTCCCTAGTGTGGCTTAGTGATGAATGCATCAATTGAATCTGTTTCTACGTACAAATAAGTATTGAATCATATCTTTCGTAGCAGCTTCAAAGTACCATAGCAAAAAGCAATAAGTGTACAAGACCGGATAGAGACCAGAAGACATTAACCACTCAACCCATCATACATTCAACGGTCGCACACTCCTGTCGTGCCCGAATATGTTATCAGGAACATATTGTGATCCAGAAGTCGTCCTCACTGCGTCCTTAATGGACAGTACGGACCTTCATCTACGTCTAAATGTGATACAACTGTGAGAGCGATGGTTTCTGCTAAAAGCCATGAAACCCGCCGAACCCAGCCAAGAATCCACATCCGTACCTAATTCATGTCTCATGCACATGGAGTGCATGACTTTAAGCTGCCTGAGCTATGGAAAAGATCTGCTGTTTTCAATGTTCAATGAGATCTGATCATGGATGGATTATACTCTAAGACCAATACTTGGTGGCGGCCACGACAGGATCGGGCTATATCAACCAGCGTGAGAGTGGCCGAACAGCGTTGTGCTCAACGCATAGCATCTTTACAAGATAGTAATCGTTGTAAATAGAGGATTTCCTCGTCCAGCTCGCTATTCACTATCTACGTCATTAGTGGCAATCACGATTGTCAAAGTGCCACGTTCAAGAACCGCCACTGAACATCTTCCGCGCCAATTGCGCCGCCAATTCAGCTCATACATGAATACCCGATGCGTAACGATTTAAGCTGGACTCTGAAATGAGGCACTGATCATAACATTAATGGACCCCACAGCGACTCCCTTGATCCACAGCATTGACTTGACCTGGGGGGAGGGGTGGGGGCGTCCTCTGCCTACAATTGATATTATCTAGAATATGTGGGCTATTACTTGGGCGTCATTCCCACTCTTTCTCCCCGTGATTCTGTATTCTATGAAATGGTCGTCATTGACTGTGGTTGGCATTGTAGCCATTGGGTTTTATTTATTACACTCTATTTTATCGACAAAAGCCTGATGATATAAAGTAGGCCATATGCAAAGATGGCCCTTACTTCGGTGCAGTGCTCCCTAAATTCCAAAGGAGTGCGGTTCTCCTAGTATGGCGACTACCCACCAACATTTCAAACTCTCATGGCTCCTTTAATTAATAAATATAAGCAATATAGCTCTATAAGACTCCTGGGATCGTTTTCTCTGCTTCCCAGCTTTCGCTGTAACAAGTATGACACGCTGTTCTTCGTCTTCTTGTCCTAGATCAGTCCTCGACGACACATGTCAGCACTGGACAGCAGTCACTGCCAAGCAAATAACCAAAAAATGCTGTTGAGAGGACCCTAACTCCCAACATGCCTAGTGAAAGCTCATCATACAATGTGGGCCTTATTGTCAGGGGGTGGGTCACCAAGCTAATCCTGATGACATACGACCGCCATCCGAGGTAAACCTACCAATCGGAAACGTAATAGACCGTGTACAGCCACCCAGAAACCTAATCGACCGAGGTATATGTGGAACCAGGTTGAACCCTATGTCAGAGCCTCTCTACACGCTATCAATCTTATTGGGTAGTATAAACCTTCGCACTCGGAAACTTCGGGGGGCCGAGACAAGTTGAGATGATTGGGGAGTCATCCACTTCATTTATTGCGTACTGAGTAGACAGGGGCAAATCTTGCAAAAGCGAATCTATGCTCGAGCCTCAATTATGACGTCTTTCGACACCTTGTCAATGCTGAGTGCTAATCTCTTTATGGGTAAACATACGCCGTACCTAGTAGTGGCTTTTACCTCTTCCATCAACTCTCCGTAGCCATTCGATAAAGTTTGTTGCAGGGATACTGGATCCAGTATAATAGCCCTAACATGCATACTTTCAGAGTTTTCCTACTCTAGAACTACTATAGTACGGTAATCTTACCATGCACTATGCCATATTAAGCTAGTATTTAATGTAGATATAGAAAGTATCTTTCATTACAGGCGTTCTAGCAGCGTACGGTGACGGAAATCAACCACCAACATTCTCGACTCTTCTGATTTCAAAGCCGGCCCACGCGGCTCCGTTTCACTGCTAGAAATCGCCCATCAGTCTAGCTATACCCCACAAGAACAAGACATTAGGGCTGTATATTCCTTCCTGTGGCTGGCATCTAAAATGGCACAACCTTAATTTCGGGCGCAACATTTCCCTAATTTGGAAGCAAGTATAGAATCTCAAGAATGAAACTTCCATGAAAACAACATGGCTCTGGATTGTTTCCACAATATAACTGAGGCAGCTAATCAAATCCAGTGCCAAGGGTTATGTGTAAATACATTCTATGAAAGATTATATTATGGTGTAGAGAGTGATTGAGCATTTAACTCGCTCCCACCCAGGATTTGCCAAGTGAACAATATCTCTCCCCCCGATTTTCTACCATAGCCTCGATTAATCTATTCCAGACCCTATCCATATCGTACCTATCTTAGCAAATTTATCTTGTGCCAAAATGCCTTTCAACACCGCGTTGACACGGAAGTTAGGGATTGCAGGTGATGTATCCTCCCATATCTGCTCAAACAGTTGCTCACTATCTCATAGTCCCGATCATCCAAGGGGGTATGCAATGGGTTGCTTATGCAGAGCTTGCTTCCGCAGTCAGCAACGCCGGTGGATTGGGAATAGTACGTGCCGCTTACGTCCGAACACCATTTCTGATATGTACACCTACTCTAACAGTTCCTTGGGTTCTTCCTTATCCAGCTCAGTGCACTCACACATCCCACCCCGGATGATTTACGAAAGGAGATCAGAAAATGCCAGTCCATGACCAAGAAACCGTTCGGGGTCAACCTTACTCTACTACCCGCTCTCAACCCCCCAGACTACGCGGCCTACGCACGCGTGATAGCAGAAGAGGGAGTGAAAATCGTTGAAACAGCAGGCCATAATCCAGGTCCAATCATTGCGCAGCTGAAGAAGGCAAATATAGTTATCTTGCACAAATGTACTACTATCAGACATGCGAAGTCGGCCATCAAGCTGGGTGTGGATTTCCTCTCCATCGATGGCTTCGAATGTGCTGGCCACGTCGGAGAGAATGATTTGACAAGTTTCATACTCCTTGGGCGCGCTCGGCAAGAGCTCAAGGTCCCATTCATTGCATCGGGTGGGTTTGCGGAGGGGCGCGGACTAGCCGCTGCTCTGGCGCTTGGCGCAGAGGGCATTAATATGGGTACTCGGTTCATGTGCACGGTCGAAGCTCCTATCCACCAGAAGATTAAGGAGGCCATTGTCAATGCACAAGAAACGGATACTACGTTGGTGATGCGGCGATGGAGAAACACCAGTCGTTATTTTGCGAATACTGTGACTGAAGCTGCGCTCAAAATTGAAAAAGAATCGCCATCGGGCGAGTTCTCTGAGATTGCGCCCTTTGTTAGTGGTCAGCGTGGTCGGCAGGTGTTCTTGAATGGAAACATCAATCATGGGGTGAGTTAATGGACCATCCGAGTCAATAATAAACCAATCGAAGCTGACACAGTGGCATTCTAGGTATGGACGGTCGGCCAGGCTATCGGATTGATCCAGGACATTCCTACGTGTGAAGAGCTAGTTCGTCGTGTCGAACGAGATTCAGCGCTGGCAATTGAAGGGATTAACAAGCTTTACTATCATGGTGCCTTGAAGAGCAAATTATGATTCATGTTGCATTATTATCTTTACTGGTTTTAAATGACATTTACACGCGTGACTTGTGCTTTCCAACTATATATATCGTTAGACTTGAGTCCTATCTCAATACTATTGACATGCATACAATGAACAAGGCCTATGTTTTGACGTCTAAGCTCAGCCAACCCAGGATAAGATATGGTCTGGTAAGCCAAAATTGGGCATCTTGGCCTTCTACGCGATGTATTGTACTACACTAGTTCAGAGTTCTCCACGAAATAGTAGGCTTAACAAACCCTAGCGAACTGTGAAGCTCGATTTGCCCCCTTGAGCCAGCAGAAGGAGGTACACGTTTAGGTTGGAAAAGGCTTAATCCTCTGAAGTTAGGGCTGGAACGATGCTCATGGGTTCCAGGGCCATACCTATACAGGATAACCGAGTTTATCTGGGGACAGCCTAACCGTTTACAGACGATATCGATTCCTTTCTTGGCGAGCTATTCTAGACTCAGCAATGGGCTAGACCCAACAAGGAAACCCCTACCTCGGTACCCGCGGGCCACAAATACGCCCTCATCAGATCCCACATAGATCCCACATTGACCGCAGATATTTTAATACAAAGTTATAACCAGACCATTGTAATTGCTTAGACACTATAACCTTAAATTCTGGATAAGTTGCCGAGACGACGTCAATTGGCTCTACATTTTAGGTTCCGCGGTTCCGTGGTGTCTTGCAAAATCTTAACACAATTTTGGGAGACGAACGATTAAGCCCACACCGTATCTCACTTCTTAAGGCAGCTGAGCTGGCTCTGCAATTACGACTAGGTTTTAGAGTTAACCACAATGACCATACGATTCCATTCCCCCAGACTATCTTCCCCACATTACACGTCCTCGGTGACGGAGTAGATACGGGGTAGCTCCGTGCGCCTCCGAGGAAACGTCGGCTGGTTATTCTCTCCGTGTTGACAAATCCATTCTCCTGTCTCACAGCGGCACATATCTAGCATGGACGAAGCAGGGGTCCTTATATCTGCGTCAGCTTTCTCAGGGTATATTTCTCAATCCAATCCGAAGACTTGGCTCATAGCTTTAGGCGGCAAAATTATGTTTTCAGCCCTTCTGCCTCATTGGGTTGGCACGCGCAAAGCTTGACGATCGATATCTTTTTAATTCATTGACCTACCACAAAGACTACACCTGCTAAGCTGCTCTACCGACCTCCAAATCGCTCAAATTCCGGTCGTCGAAAATGGAGGTACTACTTGATTATCTAGAAGAGGATTCCAGGAACGTGTTCATTGACCTAACCCCTCAATCACTGTCATCTTCTCCTGAGACATGCCTGGCAAGCGATTTACCGGGATTTGTGAGGCCAATCTCAACAGCTATAGGTGAGGATAGGTATGAACAACTTTTACTACAAGGGGCATTGACCCTACCAAGCTTTCCACTTCAACAAGCTCTACTACAAACATTCTTCGAATGTGTTTTGCCTACTATGCCAATCATAAACTGGCGGACGTTTATCAATAGTGTGAGCAATAAAGAAGGTAGTCAAGGCAAGGTCAGCTTGCTCCTGTTCCAAGCTATCATGTTTTCGGCAACCACTTTTGTCGATCTTGACGACCTTCAAAAGGCTGGCTACTCGAGCCGTGAGGAAGCTCATGAAGCTTTCTTCCAAAAAGCACATGTTTGTAACTCCCAACGTACTTCATCAAGGCTTCTTCATGCTAACCACATTATAGCTTTTGTACCAATCGCATTACGAATCGGATCCACTCACAACTCTTCAAGCCCTGCTTCTCATGACACACCGAGCCAAAGCCACGGACGGGAAAGATAGCCGATATTGGATTGAGGTTGCCATTTCGCTGGCGCTAATGATGGGGCTCTTTCGAGACCTTCCCACCGGTTATGCTAGACACTACAATCAGAAGCTTCACAGAAGAGTTGCCTGGACGTGTTATATGGCGGACTCCTTGATCGCCCTTAGGCTAAGATGCCTGCCGTTGATTCGGAGTGTTGATTTCAACGTTTCCCTCTTAACTGAAGATGACTTTGATGTTGGTCACATAAGCATGGACAGCCAACTCTTGCTTCCTTGGTGCACATTTATTCGTTGTGTCGAAGTTCAAAAATATCTGGCCGATATCTGCGTTTCTCAAGCGCAGTTATGTTTGTGCATCAGAAGAGTGCTGAACGTGCAGGCCAGGCGCAACTCAGCGGAAATATCCTCCGATGCCATCGCCACGCCACCAGAGTCTCCGAACAAGCACCACTCAGACTACCTCAGCAGTATTTGGATGTCTCAAAAGGCATTAACCGACTGGGAATATTCCTTATCACCCATATCTCAACGTCCTCCCACAGTGTTTGGGATCGGCAGCCACGAAAGCCCGCTAGTTACGCTCCACCGCAACGTCTTGCACATGATCTATCAGGGAGTGGTTTGCGTGCTGTATCAGTCGCAAATATTCCAATCGTCGACGTCCCGCATGCAGCATGCTGCTAGGCAGATCACCGAGATCGCCACCGAATTAGATGACATGAACCTTCTGCATTCGCTCCCGATTATTGGTTCTACAACTATTCTGATTGCGATGATAATCCACCTGGCAGAGGTTCAGGCCTCTTCCCCGGTAAAGCAACGGGTAACCATGACAGACATTGAATCATGCATTGAAGTAATGAAGAGGCTGCAAGATGTCCATTCATCTATGAACACTGTTACTCATCTTATATTAGCAGCGCTCAAGAAGTGCTCTCCGGAATGATATCGACGCAGCGAGGACTTGGCTCAAACAATCGAATGCCGACATGCGGTCACAGACACGGGGTCAACCTGCTGCCCTGGCACTCGTGGACCTTGGCCATTAGGTTATTCAAGATATCATTCCGGGGATTATATTGGCTTTCCCCCCAGGCCATTACGATGGGACTGAAACGGCGTTCTCCGAAGCAATTCTCCGGTTTTGGACATATCATCACTGTCAACGCCAGGAACTCAACCAATTATGACCCTCTAAGAGACCAGTCCGCAACATGAAGCTGCAACTGAGACCACACCCGTCCATGATCGTTTATTGTGGAGATGACACGGATCTCGAACCATATATGCGGACCTTAACAATTCATGGAGCCATTCCAGAGACATTCTCCATCTCTGATCATGTTTGCCTGACATGTAGGCCGCCTTGGGCTAAGGGCAGTACCATTAACGTGCTTAAGCGGCTTTTGAAGCTAGATAACCAGGATTCTGAAGATGCTAGTGACCTCATGGTCAAGGGTCCTCTCATCACAAAGGTCAATTAGATAAAGCAATTGACTTTAGATGGGCGAATATCGAAGCGGCATAGAAAGCCTACTGAAGTGCTTGAATAGTCTATGTCTACAAGTCTTAATCTCCAGAGCATGGTCTGTCGTTCCCTATGAACTGGAAGCCTTCGCGATCTTGACATGGAAGCTCAAGACGGAGCGTACATACATACTTTCTGGAGCCAGATAGTGTCCCGGTTCATTCAGAAGGGTTGTCATCTACCAACGTCACGGGTGCAAGTTTGATCAGCTCGCCTCTTTATATTTGTTTCCCCATGACCAGCGCCAATTAACATGGCATGGGCTACCACAAATATTCGTTGCTTTCGTCTATGATCTGTTGTCTGTCTAAGACCAGCAAAAATTCTTCTATGAATGCCATTTTTACCAACTCCAAACCTGCGCAACCTATCAGTTTAGACCCACTATCTCCGTCCTCTATTTCGTCGTCTTATGCGCAGTTCCCTCTCTGGGGGAAGCACACCCTCGTTCAGAGTCCTCCAAATACACTCCTCACCAGTTTCTCCTCTCCACTCTGCAGCAAGTTCCTCCAACGCGCGATCCTTAACAGTCAGTCGCAGCCAGTGATGGTTAACGTCCCATCCTGTCCAGATAGGATTGATGGAGATCCCTCGACACTGCCTACCAGGCGGGAGGTCGTTTTCGGGCGGATGCCACGACAGTGAGAACATGTCGTGACTAATATGGCTGTGTGCGGACCTCAATATGGTTCTCTCGGTCGTGAATATGGGGCTGTAGGCATAGGTGATGTAGATGACGACCATACTGTTAGTCTCTGAATCTGGTTAACCAGGTTAAAGAAGATGTTGGGAAATTGGGTTTTTCGTCGCGGAGTTGGGTCTTGAGCAGTGTATGATAGATGTCAAGGCACTGGAAACTCAACTCGGCAGGCTTTCGATGGAATTCTTATACGTTGCAAGTCGACTCCAAATGCAATCTATTTCATTATGCATATCGCGGCTTTCCAGTACTTCCACTGCATACATTTGCTCTACGCGGCTGAAATATCCCATTGATGGGGGGCATTACTATTGTTATAATGTCTATCAGAGTAAAGGATTGTGAAACCGTGTACAACAATAGACATTGTTACTGGAGTCGCTACGGGCCTTTCCAGATCATAGGTGTAGGCTCGGGAAATAATATGAATTATTACTTATCTCCCAGTACATACTTCACGTACCAATAGAAGCGCTCTTAAACTAAGGGCTTTTGCCGCGGCCTCTTTGTTCATTATTTGTGATCATGGTTTTGTTTACAGCCTCATTGAAAGAAGATACCTAGAATCAGTGTGAATCACATCCAGCATTGGGTAAAAGGAAACTACTGGGAAAGTGGTGGACGTTCATCCAGTAAATGTTGTGTCTTTCGGGTCGCATCTCAATTTAGAACTACTATATATGTTGTGGGGGTACAACGAAGGAATCGGTGAGTGTTTATGTGCTCTGCCATAGTTCCACCAGACAACCTCAGATGAGGATAGAGAGTGATTTCTAGAGCTATACAAATCCCACTACTAGAACTAGGCTGTATGGAAATGTCAAGGGGATGGGAATGAACACCTTGGTCTTCTCAGGTGTCTAATCAATCACGTGATTTAAACACAATCGATACCCCAGGAATAGGGCAGATTCAGTTATACTATAAGGTCACTAAATGTTTGACAAAGATTTAGCGTGTTATTAGCCAGGAACAAGTGTACTGTGTATCGTAAATCAGCATTTCGGCCGAAGGGACAATGGTTTGCAGGGGCGATGTGGGGGAGTCGCTCCGTACTCAACGGTGAACAACAGTATAAATCTCGAGAGATTCTACGTCATCGGGTCCACCAGCGAAAGCCACATAGGTCAGGTGATTGGGTGGCTTGCCATCCCGACACGTTTTTCTTGGTTTCCATGTTTCCAGACGAGTCTAGACCCAGCCCCGGCCAATCAAAACAAGGGAATCCTGGTGTACCTCAGGACCCGATACTCCGGCCTCAGGCAGTCAGGTTCCTCTCACTTCTTTTCCCTTTCTCTTTCTTTCCTCCACAATCGTAACAACAACACTTCCCTGGAAGATATGTGAGGATGGCAGCTTCCTTTCCGCGGCCTCCCCCCACAGATGCCGAACGTGAAAGGATCAGAGAGTTATCCAGGTAAGTCACTTAATATAGTACTAGTCAATGGTGATCCTGTAAGGTTGTTGATCCGCTGATCATTTCCGTCGTCGGTAACTACACAGGTATTACTGCACCCTCGATCGCATCCCCTCCCTTCCGCAGCCCAACAACAAGGAGCGGACCACAGCAGGACAAGAAGATGCTGACGAGGATTCACCTCGTTTGTCCTCGGACATCACCCTCACCGCCCTGAGTCAATTGGCCGTGTTGCGCTTCGGGTGCAATCGAGCCTTTATCTCCATTATCGATGATGGGAACCAGCATCTTATCGCAGAGGCTACTGGCTCCATCTCGCTACGTGACAAGGATCGGCATGCCCCAGATGATGCAATTTACCTTGGTGTGCGAACGATCGATCTTGCCTGGGGAGTGTGCCCGCATACTATCTCCCTGTTTACCGGCCAGGACATGTCTAAGGCAGTCGAGACGCCTAACATGATCGCGAATAGTTCCCGCTTTGTTGTCAAGGATTTCACCCAAGAGGACTTCTTCAAAGATCGCCCATATGTAGTGGGATGGCCCTACTTCCGCTTTTATGCCGAGGTGCCCCTCTTTAGCCCCTCCGGCGTCGTGCTAGGGTCATTTTGTGTCGTGGACAACAAACCACGAGAGCACTTTGCAGAAGAAGAGGTGGATGCCTTGAAAGAGATCGCTGATGCGGTAGCATTACATCTTGATAAAGTCCGCATCTCGATTGATCATCATCGGACGGAGAAGCTGATTAAAGGCCTGACCAATTTTGTCAAGGACCATGGGGAGTTCGACCCGGCCGAGGTGCCCCTGCCTACCAGCAAACAATCAACGCTCAACACACTCAACTCTTCTCGCGACCGATCGTCACTGAGTCTCCCCACCACAGGTGCTGGGGGATCTGGAAACATAGAGGGTCCGATCATGAGCGGTTCGACTGCGTCCGAGGTGGAGTTGTCGTCGCTATTCTCAGGAGTGACGTCCTCCGAACAAACCAGGACGTCGTCTTTTTGTTACAATTCATCACAGTCCGCGGCACCAACGCCAGCTGAAGAGACTTTGGGCCCCCGGGAGGCTGCACCAGAGCGCCAGGAGCCGCCCACGGTGTCGGTGAAACGCGGCGTCAGAAATGCGGACCAAATCGCTCGGGTCTTTACTCGGGCTAGTGTCTCCCTGCAGGATTCCCTGGATCTAGATGGGGTACTCTTCCTTGATGCGAGTCGATGTAACTCGGGCGTGTAAGTGTATTTATTGTCTGCTGCACTGGATTGGTCGCTAACTAAGGAGTTAGGGTGCTATCGGCCGACGAGGCTCGAAGTTGGGAACCGCTTCCCACCACAGCAAATCCAGAATTCCTTGCCGACCCCTTCCCTAGTCCGCTTGATTTACCGGGGGTAGGATCACTATCCAAAATCGCAGAAAAGCCATGTGAAGTGCTGGGCTGGTCTCAAAATACACCGTCACCCACAGGTTCTGATACCGTAGCGGTCACCGAGAGACTTCTCAGCCAATTGATTGCAACTTTTCCGCAGGGTCAGTTCTTTAATCTCCATGAATGGGCGGATGAGGATGGATGTGAATCAGATGGAGGAATACGACAGGATGATGGGGCGAACCCCAAACACCTGCGTGACCTTGTCCGACAGCTCCGTCACCACATTCCAGATGCGTACAGTGTTCTTTGGTCGCCCTTGTGGTGCTGGAGGCAATCACGGTGGGTTGCCGGCACCCTTGCGTGGTCTCGTGGTAGCGATCGTGCATTAGGAGTGTACGACCTGCCGTACTTGAGAGTACTCGGAGATTCCATTATCTCCGAATTGGCTCGGATCGACTGGTCCACCACGCAACAGTCCAAATCCGATTTCATCTCGTCAGTTAGCCATGAGCTCCGCTCGCCGCTACATGGCATCCTAGCTAGCGCAGAAGTGCTCGAAGGTACTCCTCTTCAACCGACCCAGCTTCACTGGATGAACATGCTAAAGACATGCGGCTGGGCCTTGTTTGATACATTGAATCATCTGTGGGTGAAAATATCTGTCTTACAAAACCTCTGCTTCAACTTGCTTATTGTTCCTGCAGGCTTGATTTTGCCAAGATCAACAATTTAACTACTGAGGACGCCGCACGGGAGGGCCGCATTAGAGCATCCGACGGCAGTCTGGCGACGACTTTTGACCTGGCTAACCTGATTGAGGAGGCCACAAGGGTTCAATATGTTGGTCAACGGGTACCTAAAGCGACTGTGCCTTTTGTGGACCCCTTAGCCACTCCTAAGAACGATGGTTCCAGCGACGAAACGACGGTTGTTGTTCGCATTGAGGAACGGCATGCGTGGAAAGTGCGATCCCTGGCGGGGGCTTGGAAACGAATTGTCATGAACCTCCTCGGCAACTCGCTGAAATTCACAAGAGCTGGGTTTGTGGAGGTCTCTCTCTCTAAAGTCATGAAGCAGTCGGACCCCCACTCAGTTTATGCTCATCTTTGTGTGACAGACACCGGTAGAGGTATTGATCCGATGTTCCTCAGAAACAAGCTTTTTTCCCCATTCGCACAAGAGAATGCTTTATCGGAAGGCCTGGGACTAGGCTTCAGCATTGTGCGTCAGTTAGTTGACACCATGGACGGGCATGTTAATGTTAGAAGTGAGGTTGGTGTTGGTACACAGGTTGACATCTACATCCCTGTTCAACGCTTTGCCAGTGATTATTCCTCTTCAACTTCCATGTCTAGCGCTCCGGTGAAGGCCTGCCTGGTTGGATTCGAAGGATATCCAGATATAAAGGAAACCCCCACAGGGATTTTGGCTGTCGAGGCCAAGAGGAAACTCGCTATTCGGAGCTCATTGGCCCCCGTGCTGATGGCGCAATGCGGTTGGAGTCTTTCGATAGCGGAGTCTATAGAAAATGCTCACGGTGATGTGGCCATCATTGAAGAGGAGGAATACGCTAAGGCGACAAGCAACGGCCAATTACCGCGTGAACTTCGCGAGAAAACCGGAATCCACCTTTTCATCATTCTGGGTGGTACAGAGCCTCGTCTACACGACCTACCACCGAATGCGATCCGTGTATCTCAGCCGTTTGGACCGGCAAAATTCCAAGAGGTGCTTCAAAGGACACAGGAACTTTATTTAAAGTCACTTGAAAATCCCAGTCCTCCTCTTCCCACTCCAGACGAGCTAGTTATGTCAAAGCGTCCCTCGCCGGGGCTCATATTACCAGCCAGTCCAGACGCTCCACAAGATAAGGGAGTAGCACTGCCTCTTCGTGCTCCACAGCCGCCCCAGAACCCTGATATGATACATTGTCTCGTCGTTGATGATAATGACATCAATTTAAAAGTAAGTACTGTTGGCTACGATGTATGTGACCATTGCTTGTGTACTGACGGTTCCCTCGGTAGATCCTGTCTACCTTCCTCCGCAAATTAGGATGCAGCTACGACACTGCCTCAGACGGATTGATAGCCCTCAATAAATACAAAGACTCACCCCGACGATATGATTACGTGCTGATGGGTATGTTGTGATCCCTATGCTAGGAGCGCTCCTGTCTGACAAACCTAGATATATCAATGCCCGTAATGGATGGGCTTCAGTCGACAAGTCACATCCGACTGTATGAGAAGGAACGGAAGCTTAAGCCATCGCGGATCATGGCTGTCACCGGGTTGGGCTCAGCGGAGACCCTGCAAGAGGCGCTGGCCGCCGGTGTGGATGACTACATGGTCAAACCCATCTCACTGAAAGCTTTGAAGAAGGTTATGAACCTTGCATGACGTGGTTCCTTGCATCCTTTGCGACATGTCACGGACGCTGGTCAACGATATGACACTGTAAATAACGCCCTGGTATACGTTGTACATATTGTTTCTTTGAAGCGACTACTCAATATTGTGCTGGAAGGCTGTTCGTATCAGGACAGGCAGCTGCCGGTTACTCTTACTCGAGCTCTTATCTGAATCCTGATTTCGTGGGTTTTGGTACGTAGATATAGCTTCAAATGATCAAAAATGGCTAAGATTGTCTCTGGACATTTGGCCCGACCTGCCAAGTAAAAACCCCACTATTGGGGTTCTCATTCATCTCTTTTTATCCTGGGTGCCAGTGACCATCAATCGCAAACTTGAGATGTTCTCATCAAATCACCTTCCATGGAGCCACTATATCGTACCCTAGACTTGGCCAAGTCGGAAATCCATGTGCTGGCCGTGCACCCGCCTTCAAAGAGCACCCCAATAATGAAGTGCAATGTTCCATGGCTACAGTATCTCTCTCTGATATCCGGGGCAAATTTCATGCCCTGTCATATACATGGGGGGTTTACCCTCCCAGCGCACAGATATTAATTCATAAGCACCTATTCAAAGTAAGCCCGAACTTGCACAACATGATACTGCAGTACCGACAGATGATCAACAAGGGTCAGGAGTATTCAGGAGTTTAAGATTGTATAAAACGTATCTACATTAGCACTTGAAAGGGAGTCAGAGGCCGACTTCATACGACGAACCGGTATCCGTCTAGACTAGAAATCCAATAAAATCGATGGTAGGATAGTAGAATTCCTGTTGTTTTTACTTAATCAAGTGGCTCTTGGATTTCTGACTACCTTGCTCCTGTCTCTCTTTCTATGTTTTTAGCGTCGTGTCAGTTCGCTAAAGGCCTCTAGTTGATTTATTCCATATATGTGGCAGGAGATTGGATCCTGGATTATCTCTTCCTCATAGCAAACTGCCTACTTATTTAGATTGGCACTTGAGGACAATTGACTGAGCTATGTTTTCCTATTCTTCCAAGATTCCGAATCTGCGATTACAAGTAGTTCTGTTCTGGCATCTGCCGCATATGACTCTATCCGAGTAGGACGATAACTGCGAATTAGCCAGCGTGAAAGGTCGTAATAGTTGATGGGCAGTGAGGGGATAATATTATATGCTTCTTATTCATGTAGGTATGTATGTATGTCTATACATCTATATATTTAGTTTTTTTCTCGATTAGCTCTTAAAAATTCACCCACGTATCCCATCTGCCTGTCAGAACCCAGATGCGAAACAGCGCATCGCAATCAGCCAGCAGCATATGTACTTATCTTCCTCAGCCTCTCACCATAGAGCCACAAGAAGATAGGCGCCGGCAAGCCGAGTCCAATGGATACAAAGGCCAAAAGACTATTCCCCCAGCCATAATCCAGCGCTTGGTACATATACGGGGCAAAAAGCGGAAACCCGAATCCAGCCAGCGAACGTAAACAAGCTACCGCGGCCAGTGCGCTGGCCGCGTACCTCGTGTAAGCATCCACGATGTAGGTCTGCATACATTGGTAAGCGGTGATGATACCGATGGAAAAGACGCAGGCGCCAATATCCGGTCCAATCCAGTGCGTGTGTGCTTGGGCGGTCCAGCCGTATATGAAAAGCCCAATGGGCGTGAACACGACGGCGACAACGAGCAGCGGGACCCGGAACTCTGGCTTCCCCTGTCCGGCTCGCTGCTTGAGTCTGCGGTAGATGCGGTCATTCAGCAGGGCGCAGATCTGGGAGCCGGCCCAGTAGCCCAGACCTAAGGCGATGTAGTTCAAGGACCCGATGCCGATGCTCTCGTTGTAGGAGCCTGTCCAGAGAGTGGGGAATGTGGCCATCACGAGATACATTAGGCCGTACATGAAGGCCATGTAGACGGCGATGAATTGGACGATGGGTTGCGTGGTTAAGAGTTTGAAGGGACGGACTAGGGAACCACGTAGTATGTGGAGGGCAGTTTGGTCGTGCGACATCTCGGCCTCTGTTTGGTATCCGGGGTCTCCGGTTTCCTTACGAAGCCTTTTGGCTTTGCGCTTGAGCAGCACGGGAGTGTATGTCTCGCGAAGGAAGAAGAGGCCGAACAGCTGGATCACGCCATCGGCGATGGATGTGACGTAGAAAATCCAGCTCCAGGAGGTATTCTCTGTTATGAATCCACCCACGATGGGTCCTATGGCTGGGCCGAGCAGAGGTGCAAGACTGTAGATAGCTATGGCTTTTCCACGTTCGTCGGATGTAAACAGATCGCTCAATACGCCGCCTCCGATCTATGTACACATTGAGATTTAGTTAGACACGTCTTTAAATGGCGAGGAAGAACAACTTACAGCTAGAGGAGCACTACCCCCTAGTCCTGCAAGAAAGCGAAACGCGATCATCTGGCCTTTGGACTTTGCTACTCCCCCAACAACATTGAATACAAGGTAGAATAGGTTAGCCAGCTGGAGGACGGGCACTCTGCCGTAGATCTCTGAGAGAGGGCCGAGAAAAAGTGGCCCGACAGCATATGCCAGGACGAAGACTGATAACATAATTTGAGACTCGATCTCGTCGTGGATGTGAAATTCCTTCGCCATGGTACTGAGGGCAGGCGCTACCATGGAGGATGAGGCTGGGGATATGAATGTAAAACACGACACAGTAATCACTGCCATCCACTTTTTGCTTGTCTTCCAGTTCTTTGGATTTTCGGGATCGTCAAGACCTTCCCATTTCACCTGAGCTTGTCAGTACCAGTTTCGAGAAGGGGCGTCCGGGTCTGGTATTGTACAAGTTTCGATGGTGGCTCTGAACCACTCTTCTCATGCTCGGGTTGTGCTTGCTCAAGGTCTCGGTTCTCCCTTTCCTTGGGAGGATTTTGATGAGAGTGTTGATTCATCGCATGAGTAGGCAGGTGGATCTCTGTGCAAAAAACTATGATTATATAGTTAGTTGTAGTTGTTAGTAGATATATGTTTGAGAACTCACCGGTCAAACAAGCTTAGTAACTTAGTGTCAACAGACAACACGAGGACCACGAACTAGAGACATTCACTAGTATGTCCCAGTTTAGATTTGCTATGAATCGCATGTTTATATACCAAGTTCCAGAAGGCAACAACTTTGGATGAAAATCAAGCAACGGAGTGGACCTGGATGGTCTTCCGAATTAGGCAATTTTACTCCGGGTCCTCCGACCGGACTTCCGTCTTTCTGATTCTTCCCGACGACCACAATTCCATTCCTACTATACTATCATACTATACCAGCCAGCCTGAACTAAGGCATGCATAATTCTGGCTAATTATGTTATAAGTTTTCATTTATATTTCCCCCCCCTTTTTTCTATGGACTCCCCTTCGCAAAGCTTGTTTCGTCGTAATGGCAGCCGACGTTCGTGTGAAGCATGTCGGAAGTTGAAAACCAAATGCGACCACGCATTGCCCAAGTGCGGTCGATGTGCACAAAAGAATGCTGTATGTATTTATGCTCCGGCGCCTATGACAAGGGCTTTTCGACCTCTATCAGAAACCAAGAGCAGAGGACGACGGAAGCCAAGGATATCCGGATCACCCGCATCGTGGGTCTTGCCGCTTCTCTGAATGACTGTGAACCTGCTGCTCATTATTCTTCCTTTGGAATAGTCGTGATGTACACCCACCGGGATCGTTGGAGCTAATTCCATCGCATGGGCAGGCGGTCGTGGTGAGTACGCCGCCACTGGAGAGTGCTGGCTTCCTCGGCCCAACCAGCTATCGCTCCTTGATGAGTGAGGGCGTTAGTGATAGTGACCCTGGCGTAGCAGACACTGATCGTACAACGTATACGATCGACCCGCGGCAACTCGATCTCGGACTCAAGATCTTGGATTTCCTGGCCGATAATGCACAGCTCGTGAGCGGCTTAGTGAGAAAGGTGTACGTGTTTGGACGCTCGCCTATTATTCCGGAAGTGCTTATGTTTCCCGCGCTCGATATGCTATGGGATACCTTTGGGGACTATATGACACAAGATGAACCATCAAGACTAAGCACAGTTGTTCGTGTTTTTGAAAACTCCTACCAACAAGTCCCTCGCAAATTTGCCATGCATGCCGGTGAGTTGAGCCATTGGATCAGTGGGAAGAATGTCAGGTGGGAAACCATCGGCAGCGTGATACAGATTGCCATCATGGGCTTGATCTATATGCCTGAGCGTGATGTTACCCAGATTGACCCCCAGCAGAGAAGCAAGGATGAGGCTCTCGCGCAGATGCTAGAGGTCATTGACCAACTCTTACCACTGAGCAATGCACTGCCCGTTGTCAATCAGCTCATGGTGTGCCTGAAATATTATCAGATGATGCTTGCCTCTCAGAGATTTGGTGACTCAAGTATGGAGCTGTGACGGCCCTGTTTCTTGCGAGAGTAGTATTGACCTTTCACGTCTAGGCCGCTGGTTATACTCCTCGCTTGGGGAACTCTCTTCATGTATTTACGCTACGGGAATCCACCAATACAACATCCTACGGACAGTATCCGGGGTTTATCGACCTGTGGCAGAGGAGATGCTTCGCCGTAGTATATAGTATGGATAAAACCATTGCCACAATACTTGGTCGACCACCCTCAATGACTCGACATTATTGTGTCTTAAAGCCGCCACTGGACATTGATGATGACATAGATCTTCCAGACTACGAGCGCAGTCTTCAAATGCTAGATAGCAATGGGTGGAATACTGACGGAAAACGACGTCCCGCTACTATAGTTCGTCTTCGCTTCCTTCTGGCGACAGTCCGAGAGGAGATTCTTGAGCTACACCTGGGGGTTAATTACGTCGACATCGAGGGAAAAACAAGGTATGAGGTATTTGAAGGGCCAGCACCATTACTTGAGCTAATACGTCTATAGCAATATCCTGCAAAGTCTGCAATCAATTTGGGATACGTGTCCTAGTCATATGAAATATTCACCGGACATGTGGTATGAACAGATGCCCAGCCAGGATATTATCGCTCTTCTCTCCATTTATCTGGATTACCTTCACTCAATCTTCCTGTTGCATCGATTCGCGACCCAAGAATGCCAAAATGAGAAGCCCAAAGAGCTTCTCCTTGTGGCAAAGACGATCCTCTCCACCGTCCTGGTGATCAATGAACACCGGGAAAGAGCAAGAGAGGTCAGAAGTGACTTTTCCAGCATTGTACGTTGAGACTAGAACGATGAGCCCTTCACTAATAAGCTAACGCACGCTGCAGTTCCTACCATACGGTCTCCCCAGTGCCGAACTTCTTGCGACGGAGTTACTCCAATCCTCCAACCCTTTACTGGGTCGTCCCACCTATCCTGGTTTGCCCCGGGCAGAGGTAATACGGGAGTTGACCCTCTACATCTCCTGCCTAAGCTGGGTAGCTAGGCCTGGGAGTGGTAATCTGGGATTTTGCAAGAAGGTCAAGGCGAAACTGACCCGCATCCTGGACCAAATCCTTGACCCCTCGTATGTCGCACCGGACTCGAGTGGCAACCACGGTGGAAGCAGCAGCGATGTTTCGTGGGCTTTCCCGGAACTCCTTGATTCCGACTTTACAATCAACAGTTTACTTCACTCAGATGATGGCAGTAACTGGGACCCTGGATTTGATCTGTTCTGTGGGCCTGTCTTCTAAGTACTCAGCCGTATATCTGGGGTTCAAACTTGCCACACAGCTCACTGTCCACGTATAAAGTCAAGAGATTACTCGAGAAACCATTAAAACGAGTAGCTGTTGCATTAGTGTACGCTGTAATCTCTATCAGCCTTGTCCACAATCAGTGAACCTCAACTCACCTCCCATGTTCTTATACACCAACCAATCCCTGACCTTCGCCTCACACCGAAGAGTAGTATCTCGAACAACATAGTCGGATCCATCACAAGTCGGCCCCCAGATCGTATACCTATGAGGCCCGACCTCCCTATCCCCCAACACACTGTCATCCGGTATAAGAATGGGATGGAAAATCTCTTTCTCCATCAGACAATTCATGAAATTCCCATACAGTCCATCGTTTTGGTATAACATGTCCGGCTGATCCTTGCATACCTCTCTAATCTGTCGCCGCCGGGATATCACCCTGCAGACTAGGGTATACGCAGATCGAGTGTAAAACCGACCAGGCTCTGCGATAAATCTGGTGGTGCTGGGGTAGTTGTCAGCTAACGAGTCACGGATTGTGCGCGCTATTTCTCCGAAGTTTTTGTCTTGGAATCCGCCCCCGATATCAACTATCCTCATTTTGAAGCCTAGGGCTTCGGCCTGGTCAAAGACCTGTCTCGCATCTCTGATGGCCTTTCGGAAGGAGTTTAAATCGTTGGCGCCGGTACCTCCTCGGCTATTAGCCTAGGTCATATTATCCACAAAAAAGAGCAGGGCCTTCTCACCAACATGAAAACTAACCCCAACAACATCAAGACCCAGTTCTTTTGACCGCTTTAGCAAAGCCCTAGTCATACCTGCCGGCGCTCCGAACTTGTCTCCAAAATTGATCAAGGCACTGACATCATTGGCGTAAATACGCAGCAAGAGTTGTGCACGGGGCATATAGGCATGTATTGTCTCGAGCTCATCTAAATTATCAAAGACCGTGGTGACAATGCCAGCCTGTCTGGCGTAGTTGAGCGCCGCGGCCGGCTTGCACGGATTGGCGAATATGATCCGGGATGGATCGACGCCCAGAGCCAATACGGCACGCATTTCTTCTATCGAGGCACAGTCAAAGCCGGTGCCCAGTTCTGCGAGGGAGCGAAGTAACAGAGCATCCGAGTTACATTTTACCGCTGGTTGAGCACTTAGAACCTCCATTTGTTCAGTTGACAAACGACAGCTTACCATAGAATGGTTGGACATTGGGAAGGTTCAGCTTCCAGCCTCTGTGTTGACGCGTAACCTGCCCTAGGTCTGCGACGAAGAATGGATTATCTTCAACATCTGGCACGCGGCTGTTGATTCTCTGAGTTTGGAACTCAATGGCGAGATTGACCAGCTGTTCGGACCTGAGGTCATCTTCTGTTTTTGGCATGCTGATCACATAAAGAAAGCAGATGGGAGCGAAGTATGGTGAACTAGAGGACTCATGATCCAGATGTCAGAATAATCCGCAACAAGGGATGCACGACGTTTTTCTATATTTTACAATGCACAGCTCAGTCGATATAGCGAATGTCGTACCACAGTCTAAAATGTATGAAACCTGCAAATCGAGACAGGTAGCAGCTGCGTCTGCCTCTATTCTGTCGCCGAGAACATCATCTGTGGAGCCGTGGAGGCACAGTTCAGAATGACAGGTTGCCGCATCACCGGATCCGGCGCTGACCGGATGAGACTCCTACCTTCTTCACCTGCAATCATACCCTCATCCCTTGCATGAGGGACTTTTCAGACAGCCATGAATATATACCCACAAGCGTCCGTGCACGTCGTTCCAGATGCCGTATATGTGCATTTCTCCTTGTGTATGGTGTGCTTGGAGTATGTATATTTCGTGATCATATAATCCGTTCTTGGAATTTTCCTAGAGTAGTAGCTAAGAGTATGATGGCCAGACCACCAGTCCACGTCACAACGTGCATTGAAGGTAGTTTAAAATGTTTTATGCTTGTTCCAGCCTTGCGGGAAGGGGTTAAATTAACATAACACCATGCACCGAAAAATGCCGCAAGTTCTAAAATGCCTCATATTTATTGCTACGCCGCAAGGCTTGGTAGGAATGGGGCTTGTGTCCTTCCTCTACCGGAACATGTAATGTGCATATTAGGGGGAAACTTTATAAGACAGCTGATCATGTAAGGAATACTTGGACGCCCACCTAGCCACGTATGACGAGACGTTAAAAAGGATTGGTGGAAGAAACAATAGTAAATGACGGATTCAGCAAGACGTCCTGGAATTGAGTGCAATATTATACAGTGATCAGAGAACCAGACAAGACTGGCATACCACACAAGGCAGTTCATATGTAGAAAGAATGATATTTTACGCTCGTGGTGCAGGCACCTGCTGGGTAACGCAGTGGATAACACCTCCACTAAGTGGGATCGTACGAAGAGGAACTTGTCGCACTTTGCGGTCTGGTAGGAGAGACTGCCAGGCCTCTAGAGCTTTCTGATCGTGAACCTCCGATCCAAACGCGGGGATGATAAGCCCACCATTGCAGAAGTAGCTATTCAGATACGACGACACAAACTCATCCTTCGGCGAGATCCCAAGACTTTTGGGGTCTGGCTCGTAGATGAAATGGATGTCAAACTGCCGTCCTTTAGCATCAGTCTCGCTCCGCAAGGTCTGCAAGATCTCCTGCCCGCATTTGATCCATTCCGGTCCATCCACTGCGTCAGGGCTATGGCGCGTCATGACCACTACTCCCGGCCGTACGAACCGCACCTCGGCGTCTAAATGACAGTCGGTAATGTCGAGATTCTTGCGCCCAGGGACCCAGATCACTTTCTCAACCCCCAGGAGGCGTCGCAATTCCTGTTCAATCTCATCCCGACTTTGCCCCGGGTTCCGCTGCTCACAGACCATGTAGCTTTCCGCGACGATGAGCGTGCCGTCTCCATCAACGACCAAGCCCCCGCCCTCAGTTCGGATCTTGGGCACAACTCGCTGCACAGGGGATGGTAATTGATCAGAAGATATCACATTGAATGCGAAATCAGTATTCTCCTGCAATTCCTTCTTGGTCATCGAGGGGTTGCCATAGCGGTAGTGGCCATGTGTCCCCTCCCACCCGTTCTTATTCCCCCATTCATTGAACTTGAAGCCAATAGCTAGCCGCTGCCGCGCGTCTAGGTCTCCCGTGGCATCGTGGACATAGACTGGGCCTGTATCGCGAACCCAGCAGTGATTGATTGGGACGGGAATAACGTGCATCTTTGACGGGATGCGTACTTTCCTGTTGATGAGATCCTGGGCATATTCAACATCTTCAGGACGAGTATACAGTCGCACCGGCTCAAACTCTGCAATTGCAGCGGCAAGGTCAACGATCTCCTCACAGTTCTTCTCCCATAAGGGTTCTAGACAGGAGGCTCTCGAAGGAAAGCCCATCATGGTTGCGAGATGTGGATGCCATTCTGGGGGGAAGGTGAAACGGCCCTTTTCGAGGGGGGCGTCGCTCTTGGGTGGTTTGTGTTGTTCGTTGTTAGTAGTGGACGAAGCTGTCCGGTTGGAGCTCAGGTAGCCACCCATTATGGAATTTGTTCACTGTTCAGTCGAGGAGCAGTTGTAATGTCTTAGGAGAAGACTCTCTGATGGTGAGAATCTAATAATATTGTGGCCTGGGACAGGGACTATGAGTAGAATGTTTTGGTTTGCTTTTTGTAATTGCTTTCAGTAGTAGCTCATGGAGGTATAGACTGGAAGCTGAATGTATTTCATCTGATGACAGGTGGAGTGAAGGGTCCCAGCATTGCATTCCAACATTGACGGGGATGCATTAAATATGAAACTGTGCCTAATATTGATCACCCACTTTGTTTCTGATGAATGGCCTTTCCTTCATACATTCTTGTTCCTTGTTTGCCATCCCTTGCGTTGCCACTGAGTACCATGGCCATTCACGCGAGGTTCTACATGACCCTTGAAGGGCATGCTTCCTGCCATAGGAAGATAATCATGGCTTGGCCGGGCTGGCAACTTAAATTACAAGAAATGCCAGATTGCCCGTATAAAGAAGGAGCCCATCGGTATTGCGAAGGCTATTTGCCAGCTTCAAACTGTGATTCTTCTGGTTCATGCGACCGAGGTACCTGAAGCCGCACGGGTATCCCAAGACTATGACAGTCATGGGTTGGAGATCCCAGCCATTGTAATGGGTGACTTGAAATTCTGGATGCCCGATGTAGTTCCATTATTTGTGATGAGTGAAGGCACGGCCTGGTCGATTCTGCACGGGGCTGATCTTACCTTCAATGGCTGACGGCCGATATCCCTCCACTACCAATACACTTCTCGCGAAGGAGTTTCTGTTGGATAGGCACATTCCCCATGTGGAGACTTCAATCGCTCTAGAAGGCGGCGCGTTGGAGACCGACGGAGAAATAACCTTTCTAGCGACAGAACGCTCCCTTCACAACCCTAACCGTAATCCGAGCGTGAGCCGAGTGACAATCTAAAACGAGCTTCAAAGGCTGTTAAGTCTATCTAAAATAATGTGGCTGTCTGGTCTAAAGTATTATGAACTGACCGATACACATAGCGATATCTGGGCCCACTTTGTGGCTCCCAATAAAGTTGTCCTGAGCAAGCCAAGTTCAGATAACGATGTGTTAAGAGCGGCCTATGGCACAAGTTCGGAGTTCCTAAGCCGAGCTACAGACGTGAAAGACGGCACTTTGAACTTTTTCACATCCAAGAAGCGCGCATGGATGGGCCTATTCCCTCTGCTGCGGGTTTATGCTTGACCTACGTGAAGTTTGTGCTCGTGAATGGTGCAGTTAATTCTCCACATTTTGGGGTTGAGAAGGCTGATACCATGTCCATACGAACACTCCAAAAGCCATTTCCAATCCGACAGGTGGTCCAGATCTATCTCGAAGACATCGCCTTGAATGGCGGCGCCATCCACTGCGTGACGCAACAGACTTCCACTCCATAAGATTAGCCACTCCTTAGGACTTGGGTACTACTCCTACAAGAGCTAATCAGGGATACTTTACGCAGGAAGCAATAAATCGAAAAGCCACATCATCTCCAGGATGGTGTGGATGCCATTCAATCAGGTAACCATGCAAAGAAATAACTAAGAAAAATGATACAAGACAGTTCCCAATATGCCCAATCGTCCTGAATGCCATGCCGGTCCAGCCATTACCATCTAAAGCAGCAGAGCGACAATAAAGGTAGAGGTCAACATCCAGACAGGAGCCATCCCAGGCCGCAAATCAGCAGCTCCACCACCGACAACATCCTTCACGCCATCTTTGATATCATTGCCAACTTGCCTGACGCCATGGAACCAGGTGCCATTGCTGTTTGTGCAAGTCTCTCCTTTGGCACAGCAGCCATACTCCCCGTTATCGTTCTTGTGGCATTCTTCATTCGCACCGCAGCTGCCTTGGTTGCCACAACATTGCTCATCCTTGGAAATGCACATCCAGCCGCACCTCTGATTGTCATCAGAGCACCACAAGCCATCGGGTGAGCGCACTGCGAGAGAATGGGGATTGGCCTCAAGGCTTCGACGCCACCAATCCCAACCGCCAGTCTCACTGTTGCACTCCGTATTCTTGTCAATACACATCATGCCGCACCGCTTGTTATCATCGGAGCACCCGTAGTTCGGGTCGCATTTTTCGTCTTTCGGAATGCACATGATACCGCAGCGCTTGTTGTCCTCAGCACATCCCCAATCAGGCGAACGCACTGCCAGAGCATGAGTATTGTCCTCCTCAAGACTCCTTCGCCACCAATTCCAACCGCCAGTCTCCTCATTGCACTCCTGATTTTTGTCAATGCACATCCAGCCGCACCGCTTGTTGTCGGCAGAGCACCCATAGTTATGGTCACATTTCTCGTCCTTTGGAATACAGAGTAGACCGCATCGCTTGTTGTCCTCCGCACATCCCCAGTCAGGCGAGCGTACGGCCAGAGCATGAGAATCGTCCTTCTCAAGACTTCTTGGCCACCAACCCCAGCCGCCGGTTTCACTATTGCATGGTTCATCCTTGCCAATACACATTATACCGCATCGCTTGTTGTCCTCCGAACATCCCCAATCAGGCGAGCGCGCGGCCAAAGCATGAGTATGTTCCTCAAGACTCCGTCGCCACCAATCCCAGCCACCTGTTTTACTATTGCATGGCTCATCCTTGCCAATACACATAATACCGCATCGGTAATTATCGTCGGAGCACCCCCAGCCGTCAGGAGAGCGTGCTGTCAACTCCTGCGAAGGGTCAGGGCTGTCCAAGCTCCTGGGCCAGGGGTGCGGGCCGTCATTCCAGCCGCAGTGCTGGTCCTTTGGAATACACCAGAAGGCGCATATCTTCTCGTCGCTCTTACAGAGCGAAGTGTCGTCGGGGGCGCGTACTGCGAGCGGATGGGCGGTGTTGACCGATTTCAATGGTTGGATTCGAACATCCTCATGGCGGATGGAATCAGTGTTCGAGGTTCCTGCAGATAGAGGGTTGCAAAGGGTGGGAACGGCGGGAAGGAGGAGGCTAAGGCAAACAGTAGCAGATAATGAGGTCTGCATGGTGGATTGCTGCGTGCACCAGTGGACCAGGTAATTCGGGCGTTGATGATACTGTGAGCTCAGGTACAGAATGTGAGGATTGTTGGTATTTGGATTTAGAATTGAAGTTTGTTTGTTCTGATTGAGTGATACCAGTCCTGAATGACGCGAAAGAGCTTCATATTTATATTGTCTATCTCAGTATACAAAACCATCCAAACGGTAGCGTCTACACACCTCTCTGGGCATTCGCGCAGCCCTGCCAAGAAAAAATGCTCACCCTGCATTGAAGCATGTTAGCGTCGGTAGTGTCAGCAAAGGGTCTGCTTAGCCAAGCCCTAGGAACAGCCACTGCAATATTGAGCTAGGCGACCCCTGCTCGGTCGCGTCTAATCATATTGTACGGAATTATTGCGGATTAGGCCACGATATCCACCCGTTGGTGAGGTATGTTTCTCGCCACATCGATATACCCACCAAGCCAGACAAGCGGCGAAAGGCCCTGCATGTCAGGGTCCTGGTCACACTACTGGGTAATCCTATCTTTACGACTTTTTTTTAACAACAGTGCCGTAGAGCTGTGGTTCAATTATTTTCATATTTCCCGGATATCCGTTCTACAAGGCCCTACTGCCATCCTTAACTATCGCTCCCCAAGAGCAACAGCATCTTCCCCGTTTTACTAAACCATAGAGATGTTTGTTTGTAGCTGCCGTGAGAGACACATAATTGGGGAAGGGTGTGCTCAGCTGCGCAATGATCTCACACGTATCATCATGAAACCGTTGAAACAGGTACACACTTCATCTGATCCCAATGCATAGTGAGACCCCAGACAAGACTGTACGTTCGAATTTAGTAACTAATTATTTTCTCTTGACCATATGACAGCAGGGTTTATAGAAGGGCCAATTCAAAGACACATCGATATTCGCGTATCAGCTTTCCTCTGAGGAGCCATCCAAACACACCTCTTCCATAAACCTAATATATAATCATGTTTCCAAGTCTCCGAACCGCTAGGATACTATGTGAAAGGTGATAAGTGGAAGAACTCTGCTTTCCAAGCAACCAATAGAACCATCCACTCTGCTGACGCTGGAAGGCAGTGTCTATGTGGTACGCCTGAAAAGTCAGTTATGAGGCAAAGGAAGTTTGACCATTTACACTTATACAGACGCGAGTCTGAGGTCCTAAAAAGGGGCTTGATTGCATTTACCATGCTCAACCTATACTACATATTCCAAGGATATTTTTTTTTTTATCTTTTCATATGATCAATAGCGTCGAGCGCGAATTCTCCAGGCACACCAGCAACTTGTTGCAACCTCTTGGCATTCGGATAGCTGTGGGACCGCCGATCTGCCACCTGGCCAGCTGCAGAAGATTTTGCATGCTCATCGAACAGCCAGGATTACCGAAATCGTTAGTTCCCAAACATGTAACCTGAAATGTGTCACTAGTTGAGGATTTCGTCGAACAGGCTCTAAGTTGGATAATTCAGGAGTGCCGAAACGTCAAGATGGTTGCAATATTATATCCTATACCTTCAGTTAAAAATATACCATAGCACTGTATGTTCTTTAGTGTAGAGCCAAGTCATATTCAGCATGCCCTACTAAAACAGGAACAACTATCTAACCACACAGCAGTCAAGAAATTTGTCATGTCACCAAAACATATCGCCGACCAAATGCTGCATCAAAATAATCCGGCACCAGATTGGCCCGAAACAGTCAGACCACGCAAGAGATGAAGGCACCACAGAGGAAAGCTAAGCCTTGGTCGGAATCAATAGTGAAAAATAGCCCTCGGGCATGTTCGAATTTACATTTCTCGTCCAGTGGAACCGCGGACCCGCGGTAATGACCGTATCATGGCGAGCTCTGATAAGCTGCGGTGGCCCCACAAAGTGTATATTCTCACCAGCACAGACCCATCCCTCACAACCTTGACAGCAGCTCTGGCGACGACGATGCCTCGGGCCAGAGGTCTCCCATGTGGGGTCTGTTCCCCGCTCAGTGTCGATCCTGTTGAGACCAATAAATACCAGCGCCCCCGACGCGTGGTGTTTTGGTCTGCAGCGCTTCACCATGAGTCGAAAAAATCGCAACCCGCTATCTAACCCGCTGCACTATGCGACACCGCAAACAAGCGCAGGACCACCGGTCACGTACTCCTCCGCCCAACGCTTGTTGAAGGGATATGACTATGGTGAGCTGAGAAGAAACGCGTATGTCTCTCAAAACTAACTCACCGCTCAGTGATCATCGGAGCGGGTGCCGCTGGCTCTGTGCTTGCCAGCAAGCTCTCCGAAGACCCCAATGTCTCGGTTCTCCTGTTGGAGGCCGGAGGGGATGACACCGGCGTCACGGAGAGCAAAATGCCATTGGGGTTCCCAAAGCTCTTCCACGGAGAATATGACTGGGATTATTACACCGTTGAGCAGCCCGGCCTGGCGTCGCGTCGCCTATACTGGCCTCGAGGTCGCATTATCGGCGGTAGCTCGTCCATCAACGCCATGATGTACCATCATTGCTCCAGGTCAGATTTCGATGAATGGGCGTCTCGTTACGGATGCCAAGGCTGGAGCTACGACGATCTGGCGCCGTATTTCAAGCGCATGGAGCGCTTCACTCCCAATCCAAACCGTCCACGCATTGACCTGCAGCATCGGGGCAGTGCGGGTGAGTGGCAAACCGGGTATTCATACCTGACTGAGATTGGCGAAAAGGGCTTTCTGCCCGCCTGCTATGATGCCGGAATTCCGGCTGTCGAAGACATTAACACGCCCGGCGGCACCCTGGGCGCCACTCGGTTCCAGACGTTTATTGACCCCAAGGGACAGCGGTCCTCCTTGGCGACGGCATACTTGACACCGGAAGTGAGGAAGCGCCCGAATCTCTTCATCGCATGCCATGCGCATGTCACGAGGCTGCTTTTCGACCCGCTCAGCGGCGAGGAGCCAATAGCCATTGGAGCGGAGTTTCAGAAGCAACGAGGAGGAGAGTTCTTTCATGTCCATGCACGCAGAGAGGTGATTCTCAGCGGCGGGACGGTTAACACGCCGCAGCTGTTGCTTTTGAGCGGTATCGGGCCCAAGGATGAATTGGAAAAGCATGGTATTCCCATTGTGCGTGCCAACGATGCAGTAGGGGAAAATCTCAAAGATCACCTGGTGACAACCGCCGTGATGTGCAAGGCAAAGGCGGGAACCACCCTCGACTATCTCGGAAGTCCTCTCAGGGTCTTGCCGTCCTTAGCTCGATGGATGCTTTTGGGGGGAGGTCCCCTGGCTCACAATGCGGGCGAAACAGCTGCATTCATTCGATCCTGGGAGCACCATCCTTTCCCGGGTTCATCTTCTGAGCGCAGCCCGCCAAAGGATTACACCTCTGGGTCGATTGGACCGGACGTGGAAATCATAGGCGCACCGCTTGGTTTCATCCACCATGGTGAAGAGCCACCCCTGGATGGGGCCAGTGTATTCACCCTTGCCCCGATCAGCCTTCGTCCGCAGAGCAAGGGAACTGTCACACTAAAGAGCAGGGACCCCTTTGATCATCGTGAGCATCTCCCTTCTCCCACTACAAAACAAAGCAAACTGACACTGTGATCTTTTTGCAGCCTTAATCGACCCTAAATACCTTAGTGACGAAGAGGGTAACGACCGCGCAGTTCTCTTGGCAGGCATCCGCGTCTGCCTGCGGATCATGCGAAGCCCTGTCTTTCAGAAGTACTTAGAGCGTGTGCCCATCAATGATGACCCCTGGTCATACTGGTGGCCATACTCTAGCAGCGACATCGATCGCATCACGGACGATCAGATTCTTCGCTGGATGGATGAAAAGGCGTTTACCTTGTACCACCCGGTCGGCACCGCGCGCATGGGAACGTCTCCTGAGGACAGTGTGGTCGACGTACAGTGTCGAGTGCATGGTGTCAAACGCCTGAGGGTGATGGATGCCAGTGTGTTCCCGGAGCAAATTAGTGGACACCCCACTGCCCCCATTGCGGCCATGGCCTATAAGCTCAGTGATATGATCAAGAAAGACTCTGAGACGCAGGCTCCTCTGGCACGTTTGTAATGTTGTACGGGGCGTGAAGACCTTGGAGCTACGATAGCTGCTGATTTGATGCTATCATGATGTAAAGAATAACTCAGTGAAGGTACAGTGAGTCAATTACATGTTATTTTCCGTCGATCATTTTGGCACACAAGCGATGTATTCAATGGTGTACTTGGAATATGTCTATTATAGCTTTATGGCAGGTTGTTGCGTGCTATTTTGCTTTTAATTCAGTCAATAAATAGTGACAATTGGACGAGGTAGTACTTGATATATGCCCAACGTGTGCTGACATTATAACCATAAATTGTGGCCAAGTCCGGGGGCTCCGGCCACTGTTGACCATTTCCCTAAAATAGCAGCTGCATCTCTCAACCTGAAGTGGTTTGCGAAACATGACCAATAATGAACGCAATTCTGCCTCCTAGGAGTGAAACTGCGCCAGTCACTTGCATTAGTTTTTCACCTTGGGATAGTGGCTGAGATATTGACTCCACTCTGCTGCAGCGCAGGTAATTCCAGCCGAGCGGATGCAACCCAGCAGGTTAGAGAGTAGCTTGGCTGCACAAGTCCCCACTTTGGACACGAGCAACAACCTGGTTGCGAGGGAGCTCTTTGCCACGTTTCGATTATTACATGAGATGGGGGATTCAGAGTACAAAAGTCTCCAAAAGTGCCACCTGGCTAAGAATGACAGGGAGTAACAACGAAACATTACCCATTTATCTTCCCATTCAAGATGCGCTTTCAATCAGTAATAGCCGCTCTACTACTTAGCCTAAGCATCACAATCCACGCCACCCAAACCTTCAAGAACACAGGCACCACCTCCGGCTGGAGCTCCATCAACCACGAGCACAAGGGTACAGTGCAACAAGTCACAAATGTAGTGTACGGCGGGTCAACCGCACTCAAAATGACGCAGGTCTACGACTCGAGCTACAGTGGTCG